GCCTGCTCACCATCACAGGCAAGCACCAAAAGACGCTGCCGTGGACTATAGAGAACTACAGCAAGGATCTGATCATCAAAGTTGACGAGGAGGATGGGACGGTGGTGAAGCGGCCTTTCCCGAGCCGCAAGCAGGTTTTGTCGATGAAGCACGACTTTTTCAAGAGGCCGAGCCCGACACCTCCGTGGGAAGTCATCAGGCATTGGAAAGAGCTGAGGAAATCTGTCGACAGGGAAACAGCACAGAGGGAGTCGAGAGGTGGTGCTTAAAAAGCTGAAGAGCTGCTTCGCTTGCTTTCCGGGAAAGCATGTCGCTCGGCTTTTTTCGCTTGACTCTTGGAAGCTGGATTGGAGAAATCTCAGTAGCTTTATGCGGCCAGCCAGCAGCAACAAAGTCTACGTGCTCCTCGTGATTTGCAATCATCAAGGCTGCTTCTTAAGGTAATGCATGGAAAACTAGTTTTTCAAGCTCCGCGCTTTGATGATACTCGTGCTTCTGTGCAGATACCATCACCGTGGCTCTCGTCGTCTTGAATAAAGAACGAATTCTCCACCTAACCATCGGAATCCGCCACTGGATCACCGAGGTTTACTGCTCGGTACTGGTAAAGCACTGGGTGTTCTAGATATACAACTCTAACTTCTTGTCTCTTCTTTCTTCACAGCTAGCGATGCTGGCAGGGGAGGACCATTTAGCCAGTTTTGTCCGATGCCAAGGTTGAGAGCGGTCAGAATGGAGAGCACGCTTATTCCAGTCGTGATCGTTGCGCTCGTGTCGCTTGGCCAAATCTCGAGAGTGGCATCGGAGTGTGCTACTTTCCCTGCGCTCTTCAACTTTGGAGACTCGACCTCGGATACTGGAGGAATCCAGGCGGCATTCCCGACCTTCAGCCAGGCGGAGTTTGCTCCTTATGGCATGACGTTCCCTGGGAAGCCGTTTCTAAGATACAGCGATGGTCGGCTCGGTGTTGATTTCCTGTGTAAGTTTTCGCTTCTAGATTTCGTTTCGTTTCGTTTCGTTTCGATCTGATGGTGGTGTTCTGTTACATGTGGATTTCAGCTGAAGCTCTTGGGATTCCCTACCTCAGTCCTTACTTCCAGTCTGTTGGATCGAATTACACCTATGGTGTCAACTTCGCAACAGCCGGAGCTACATCGCAGGCCGTGACATACATCAGCCCCTTCTCACTCAACGTTCAGCTCAACCAGTTCAGGGAATTCAAGCAGAGAGTCCTTGCGAGCAATGGTAGTGACAGTGAGCCTCAGCTGGATAGAAATCTGACGGATGCTTTCTTTGCCAGGAACAAGAAATCTGAATGCTCTTCCCTCGCCGAGCGTCTTCTCCAGAGCCATCTACTATGTGGACATTGGTGGGAATGATTTTAGCTACGGCTACACGAGGAACATGACGTTCGATCAAGTCAAGGGGTACATCCATCAAGTGGTGGACGGGATCATCTTCCTCGTGAAGGTAATCCATTCAATGCGTTGATAGCTAGCTCTCAACTCCTCGCTTGTTTCTTCCCTTTTGTTCTTTCATCCAGGGAGTGTATGCCGAAGGAGGCAAGACGTTCATCATCTCCGACGTCGGCCCGCAAGGCTGCGTCCCATACTTCCTCACCAATTTCCCAAACTTGGCAGTGACTTACGACTCGGCCGGATGCGCTCGAGAGTTCAACGCGGTGACGCAGTACTACAACGGGCTCCTTCGAAAGGCCTCGAGACTCATGCGAGCCGCCTTCACAGGCACCACCATTGTCTACCTCAACTCTTACGATATCAAATACGCTCTCACGCTCAACGCTGCCAGCTACGGTAAGAGCAAAGTTACAAACTCCAGTGATTCTCTCGTTTCGTGTTTCCAGGATTCCAATACGCGACTCGGGCTTGCTGCGGCACAGGAGGCGATTACAACTACAACTTCGGGGTCCAGTGCGGGGAGTCGAAGATCGTGAATGGCAAGTCAGTGGTGTCCACGACTTGCAAGGATCCATCTCAGTATCTCAACTGGGATGGAGTTCACTACACCGAGGCCGCGAACAGGATCATCACCAGGCAGATACTGAGTGGAAACTACTTCGATCCAAAGCTTCCGCTGGACACCTTGTGTTCTCTCAACACCATTTGATTGCTTGCTTCCAAGGCACAAGCGAGAAAATTTTGCACGAGAAAAGGCTGGGGTCTTTGTTTTCTTTTCTCCTTACAGGGCAACTGCGAAGTTCCAGATGCTCAGATTGGGCATCCTGTCAATGTCTTGCAAGAGAAGGTAAAAAATGGCAGGTGAAACACAGAAATTCACTGAAGCATTGTCCAAAGTCTTAGGAAAAGAAGTGGTCAGCTGACAGTAATTATTAGTTGGTAGATCTCCTGTAAAAGCAGACAGTTCTGTCTACCGTATCTCAAAGACAAAAATAAATACAAGAGAAGGCCATTTCTATTTTTTTTATTTTTCTCTATCTCTAGGCGATGATTATCGCCCAGTATATACATACCAATATACACTCTGATCGTCTTCTTCGATCATCTTAACCCGGTGCACCACTGAATGCACAAACCCAGAGCATGAGAACGCCGAAGAAAAACGAAGTTCTCACATTAAAAAAGCCAAAAACAAGGAAACAAACCAAAAGAGCAAACGAGAGAAAAAAAAAAAAACGAGCTTACCTCAGTGACAACTCTTTGCGAAGAACATCCATCACCGCACCAAAGTCATTGGGAACTTGCAGCGGCGGATTCGCAAACTGGCACGCCAAGTCCGGAATCTCTTTCGAGTGGTACGCGATCTTGGACTGCGTGAACTTGAGACCGTGAGCCGTGCTCACCACCACCGTCCTGTCCGTGGCTCCAATCACGCCGCTGCGACGGAGCTTTGTCAGTGCCGAGAGCGCTACTCCAGTGTGGGGGCACGTAAACATCCCTGTGAGATCCGCCTGAGCAGCAGCGTCCATGAGCTCCTCCTCCGAGGCCTCCTCCACGATACCATTGGACTGCTGCATCGCGTACACGGCCCTGTCGATCGACACCGGGTCGCCAATCTGGATGGCCGAGGCAAACGTCGGGTTTGCCTTGATCGCCTTGTAGTCCTCCCAGCCCGACTTGTAGAAGCGGTAGAGCGGGTTTGCGTTGGCCGCCTGTGCGCACACGAGGCGTGGGATCCTGTCGACGAGCCCGAGCTCCTTGCACATCTGGAAGCCTTTGAAAAACGCGTAGATGTTGCCCAAGTTCCCTCCGGGAACTATCACCCAGTCGGGAACTTCCCAGTCGAACTGCTGGAGTATCTCGATCGCGGCAGTCTTCTGCCCCTCGAGCCGCAAGCTGTTGAGAGAGTTTGCAAGATAGATCGGGAGCTCGGCCGTCACCTCGCGTATCAGCCTCATGCAGCCGTCGAAGTCCGTGTCCAGGCTGAGCACCAGAGCTCCGTTTGCGATCGGCTGGACGAGCTGCGCGATGGAGATCCGGTTGGCAGGGAGGAAAACAATGGCTGGAATCCCCGCGGCAGCGCAGTAGGCCGAGAGAGCCGCGGACGTATCACCGGTAGAAGCACAGCCGACACCCACGACTGGCTTCTTCATCTTTCTCAGCCTGTTAACTTGGCTCACCAGCACCGTCATTCCCAAGTCCTTGAACGATCCAGTGTGGCTGATCCCACAGTGCTTCACCCAGAGATCGTTCATGTCCAGCATCTCTTTTCCCAGCCTCTCCGCCCAGAAGAGATTCGAGTTCCCTTCGAACAAGCTCACTATATCGTCATTGTCGATCTCCGGAAGAACCCATTCCTTCTTGCTCCACACACCGGAACCATACGGCCAGGAAGTCTTCCCCACGCGGGAGTCGAAGAGATTCTTCCAGTACTTCGCGTCGTGCTTGGCAAGAGCTTCCATGTCGTGCTGGACGTCGAGGAGATCCCCGGTCTTGCTTCGGTAGATCACCTCGTCCAGGGAGTAGTACTCCTCGCTCGAGCTGGATCGAGAGGAGAAGGGGACGTACTTGGCCGAGAAAGTGTTTGGAGGAGCGCCAATGCCGTGCCTCCTCGCCTCGTCCCTGATGTTCTCCGCCGATCGCTTCTTCACGGCCTCCTTGCGCGCCCCGGGCGGTGCCTCGGCGGAGATGGACTCCAGGGTCACCTGGGAAACCCCATTCTCACCAGAACTCGCCGATCCACTGGCTGCTCTCACGCTGATTCTCCTCCCCATTCTACCTCGTCCTCCCGGCAATTTAAACATACCTCCAGCGCCGCGGCGCTGCGACGGCGGTGGTGAGGCGGCGGCGTGGCCAGCAGCTCCGATCATCATCCCCGTCTGGCAAGTGGCCGCCATTGTGATCGATCGATCGAGTGTCACATCCTAACCCAAGAGCCCTAATTTTTGGGCTAGGGTGCGAAAAAAAATTTGGACCATTTCTCGATTTGTGCGTGTCATCCTTGCGCAGGGGCCATGCTAATCTTCTCTGTATCGTTCCAATTTTATCTGGTGTCTCCGAAGAGACGTTAGTAAGTAGCGATGGCCAGGTTTATAAAGAGCTCATTCTCAATTGTGCCAAGGCATATGGGATAGGGCACTACAAGCCCTAGCCCTAACCCTAAAAATTAATGACGTGGCAATTTCGAAAACTGATCGAAAACTGATTTACGTGGACGTGGCAAGCATTTCTTAAACCCTTGGAGGTTTGTGCTAGGGTTTGTTCATGGCTTGCGCGGGACTGCCCGCCCCAGGGATTGTGGCGGCTTGCGGCGTTGCGGCAGATCAATCGCCAGCAGCGCCAGGTAATATCAATCTAGGAATCTCTCGATCGAGCAGCAATGCGGGCTCCTCGAGCATGTCCAGGAAGAACTCCAAGAGTTTCCACTCCACGCCGGCGATGGCGTCGGATGTGAGCGGCATTGTCGCCATTCTCACGAGCGTGGGAGACCGGCCAGAGGCCGAGGCGGCATTGGCCAAGTACAGCCGGAATCTCGTCCCCAACACCGTGGGCAGGGTCCTCCAGGTGATCAAAGACGTCGATGTCTCGCTCTTCTTCTTCCGCTGGGTCACTCGCTCGCACCGGGGAGAGTCCATCCACAACAATTTCACTTGCAATTGCCTGCTGCGAACGCTCGTCAAGGCCCGGCGCCACCACCAGGCATACCAGATCTTCCGGGATGAGCTCCTGGGTCAACACTGCGACACGAATCACATCACTTACAACACCCTCATCGGTGGCTTCTGCAAGGCCGGAGATATGGAGCGAGCATTCCAGCTACTAGCGGAGATGAAAGAAAGGGGCCACTCCCCGGACGTGGTCACACACTCCTCGATCGTCCAAGCTCTCTGCAACACGGGAAATCTCTCGCGAGCGATGCAGTACTTTCGGGAGAGCGTGGAGTGCGCTCCAGACTCGGTGCTCTTCAACATCCTCGTGCACGGCCTGTGCAAAGCGAACCAGCTCTCCGAGGCTCGCCAGATGATTGAGGAGATGAGCGAGCGTGGAATCGTCCCCGATGTGGTGACTTACAATTCGCTCATCGATGGTCTTTGCAAGAGCTACCGGATGGAGGAAGCTCGCCAGCTCCTAGAGACGATGGTAAAGCGAAAGGTTCGTCCCAATCTCGTGACTTACAACACCTTGATCTATGGTTACTGCAAGACAGGTTGCACGGGGCTCGCTCACCAGCTGATCGAGAGGATGATCCAGTCTGGAACTCATCCCGACGTCGTGACTTTCAACAGTCTCATCTCCGGGTTTTGCCAGAAGAGCAAGATCGACAAAGCTTGCGAGGTCCTCCACCTGATGAAGAAGGGACTTTGTGCGCCAAACTTGGTGACTTACAACGTTCTCATCAGTGGTCTCTGCGACGCCGGGAGAGCAAACGAGGCTTGCGAGCTGCTCAGCGAGATGGATGGCCGGGGGATTCTCCCTGACATCATCACTTACAACAGCCTCATTGGGATCTTCTGCCGGAACTTCCAGATCGAGCAGGCCTTCCAGATACAAAACTTGATGGTGGAGAGAGGAGTGATCCCGGATGGCATCAGTTACTGCACGCTCGCGGTGGCTTTACTCAAGTCGGAGAGATTTGACGAGGCTTTTGCTCTGCTCGACAACATGTTTGACGCCGGAGCTATCCCCAATCTCTTCACTTTCAACAGCCTGATGGAGGGGCTGTGCTGCTCGAGAAGATTGGACGAGGCGAGGCATCTCTTGGCTGTGATGAGACGAGTCGGGTGTGATCCAGCGGCATCGACTTACGAGGTTCTAGTGACCGGGCTTTGCAAGGCAGGGAGAGTGGACGATGCAAAGGAGGTTTTGGTGATGATGGTGAGCGAGGGGATCCAACCTTTGGTGTCGAGCTCTGGCACCATTGTCCATACGCTCGCCAGGGAAGGGAAACAAGATCTGGCGCTCCACTACTTCGATCAGGTGGTGGCGGCGGAGAGTAAAGCTTGTGATCCATCATATCAGAAGCTCCTCGAGTTTGTGAAGGTGTTGCGTGAAGGCAAATCAAACTCTTGAAAGTAAACTTTTTGGGGTGTGTGTGCAATGTCAGCATCCAGTTCTTTTGAGATTCAACAGTCGCATACTTTTCCCCTACATGTTGTATTCATTTAGAAATAAATATGGCTTAAGTCTAAATAATAAAGGCCCAAATTGTCCTCCCCTTTATTCTGGAATTAAATATAACATGAATGGCTACAATTTAATCTTTTATATATTGAGTTATATTAATAAACTATTGTATTTTTATTATTCATATTCTTCAGTAGTTACAGCACACATAAGTGTCAAAAAGAATATTGTATTATAAAAAGAATTTTTTAAATAATATACTTTATTTTCAGTTAGAATTCTTATAAAGTGTATATAATACAAAGTAACTAAGTATTAATTGAATTGTGCATGCATGCACATGCCTTGAATTATTAAAATTAAGATTTCAAACACATAAAATTTGGTTTAAAAGTGTTTTCTTAATGCTATGCAACCTAGACCAAAAACCTATATATTGCTTTATCTATTCCATTTAAAATATTTAAAATATAACTCTGGCCAAAGTATTTAGCATTGGGACATTATCACAATATAAAATAATAAATCATCTTTCATGTTTCTAATTTATATAACTAAAAAAGATAATCTAAAATATTATTTATACTATATATAACAAAAAGCAATTACATGTGTATCTATATACAAGAACTTTAAACCAACATTAATAAAATTAACTCTGGATTGAGATATAATTTGTTAAAAACTCACCAATACAAATCATTTATCCACTTGTAAATAATGATTAAACAAATAGTTTGATTTTTATAAACTAATTATT